TGTATCTGTCTTTTATATCAGCTTCGATTATTCCATCTTGAGTTATCTTCATACCCAGGTACTTGCATTTATCACAGTGTCTAATTTCTACCCCACAGTCTAATATAATGGAAAATTCCTCTGTAATTTTCACACTGATACTTGCTGCCTTTTTTGTGGATAGTTGACATAATAGATAATTTCCATTCTAAATACAAATCATAAAAGATATTAAGGAACAATAATTAAAAATCAAACTATTAAAAATTGATAAAATAAAATGCCCCAACGGCCTATCACAAATGTATTACAAAACGTTTTCGGATTGTTAAATCCATCATCAGTATAAACCTGAAAGTAAATTACCACTTTAATTAAAAGGAACGTTGAATTTAAAATGTTGACTAAGGTTAAAGAACATTGTGGTTAATACTTACGAGGTATACGTGCTATGAGCCACCAAAATATATGGGTCAAAACCCTTTAAATGATATTAATTTACAGTTGCTTTACATTATATGTGGTTACAAATTATGATGTTTAAGTTACCGTTGGAATTTGTACCAAGGCGACGTATGACCCTAAATAGGTAAAATGGTCCTGAGACGAAGTGTCTTCGAGGACCTGTTGATAACAACTGATCAAAATGACATTGTTGACATGTTAGAACGGATGTTGTGTCAGAGCAGTCAGTGTAACTTACGGTGGTTGTCTAAAAATGACAGATGTCAGCATTATTTAAAATTGAAAAATTAAAATTATAATAATGTAACAGTATCAGCCATCAATGTTGTAGTCTGTAATGTGAATTAATTATATGGCTATATTGGCAACATTGAAAAAATTGGTTTTTTAAAATTAATATGGGTAAACTGGAGTTTATGAAATTTAGTAGGATCAATAGGTAACCGTATGGATTTATTTGTTCTAAGTTAAAAAATTTATCAAAAGGCCCTGTATGTTGTGTAACATTTGGTACCTAGAAAATGGTAAAAAAGGGCACATGTAGGAAGATGGGTTATATACGATTTATTAATGAGGAATGTTGTAGTAAAAAGTGTGTTTAGATCTGTTGTTGAGCTGAAATTTAAATATGACAAGAATGTGATTGTGGTGTGATGTTCATGTAGTACTTAACTTAAAACTTAAAGAAGGAGGGCCCTCTATGTCAAAAAACAACATTTGGCACCTGGTAAAAATAAAACATTTTTCAAGTTATAAGTACATGAACATGAATTGCTGGTTATGTGTGAAAATTAAAGATGGTAGATTGGTTTTGTGTGTGGACACGTATGCCAGAACAATAGAAAACTGATGGCTGAAAGGTGGTTTGGTATGGTATTGTTAATACATTGCTCAAATTAAAACTCAAGAAAAAACAAAAGGCCCTATATGTTAAAAGGAACATTTGGTGCCTGAGAAATATAAAATAAAAAGGATGAGTTAGTATGTGAGTTTAATAGGCTATTGTGGTGTATTGTGAGAATATGTGAAACTGTAAGAGTAGTTATATTTAAGTTGGATCTGTCAAATTTACTAAAGATGTGTGATGTTTAATTGTTATTGTGAAGAGAAAGGTGGAAAAACTACAAGAGGCTGAAGACCCCAGAGACCCGAAAACCAAACCCTGAGGGAGAGTGGATGGGTAAAAGGAGTTATAATAGAAAAGAAAAATGCAGTAAGAAAAGGTAAAGATATGTGGTTGAGTAGGTGAAGGTGTATGAATTTATTTTGTTGAAAAGGAGCATGGAGAATGTTGGGTGCCTAGAAAGAATTGAGGAGAGAAGGAGAGTTGGATATATTGAACAAAGTTAGAGAGGGCTAAGGACGATTAGTGCGTGATAAGAGGAGGACGAAAATTTAAATACTAATGAAGAAGTAAAGTTGGAAAGTGGGTTATGAAAATAGTTGACGGTGGAGCGGAAGAAAATCTCGATTCAATAAGACATGGCGATTGACACAGTTTGGACTTTTCTACGTCGCCATTTTACAAATTCCAACGGTAACTTAAACATCATAATTTGTAACCACATATAATCTAAAGCAACTGTAAATTAATATCATTTAAAGGGTTTTGACCCATATATTTTGGTGGCTGATAGCATGTATACCTCGTAAGTATTAACGAAAGTGTTCTTTAACCTTAGTCAACATTTTAAATTCAACGTTCTTTTTAATTAAAGTGGTTATTTACTTTCAGGTTTACACTAATGATGGATTTAAAAATCCGAAAACGTTTTGTAATACATTTGTGATAGCCCGTTTGGGCATTTTATTATATACCTTTTATAAAGGATTTAAGATAAAATTTTTTGTGATATATGGTATACTGCCAGCTACAGAAACTTAGTTTTCTAGTGGATTTTTTTTATTAAAAAATGAATTATAATTAGAACAACAATGTACTAAAGAAAATTTATAATAAAGATACTGTACAAAAAGTGTGTCTTTTATTGTCATTTATGTTAAATAAGTAAATTTAAACTGTATACAAATTTTAAGATGATATTAAAAAAGATCTACAGATTCTATGGTTAGAAAATAGAGGGAAGTTGCCAGGAATCGACAGGAGTGGTGACTTCTTTGTAAGCAGGCCAAGATCCACAAGGGATTGTTGAGCCACTTATGATGATGGCAATATTTAAGAACCCAGTACAGAAATTGCTCAACTAATATATTTATGATGAATATATGTACAGTTATAAAAATGCAAATTACTGAAATATAAGCATCTATACAATATCCTATAAAATTTATCTTAACCAAGGTGAAAGTAAGTTATACATTGTAATCCACGAGGAAACTAAATTTTGGTAAATAATGAATGGGTTGCTTATGTGAGTTTATTTCAAATAGGTAAAAGAAATAATAAATAAGACTTACTAACAATCAGTTTAATTTAACTATCTAGACGAATGGTTTCGCTTTATACAATTTGCAAAGCATCTTCAGGTCTGTTGATACAAAGTTAATTAAATGATGCAGGTACTCGATTAACAATACTGTTTGACAATCAACGGGGAAGTTTTTTAAGGACATACATTTTATCCAATGAAGTAGAAAAAAGGTGTAATGTGATTGTTTGTTAAATGAAAGTAATGTTCTGTACTATTTAATTTTTTAAAATTTATTTATATTTATTCAAGAGATATATTTTCGAAATGTGTGTTATTTACTGAAATTTTTTATTAAGGTGATAGTTGTATGACAATTAATAAAATTAGATCTACAATAATTGTGTAACTGTGCAAATTTCTTTAACTTGTAATTATCAAATTTCTTTGATAAAGTTCAATTAGCCTACAGTTATTTGGCAGATGATTGTAAAGTCAAGTATGTTAAAATTATTATTAAAAGGACAAAACAGACATTATAGTTTTTAAATTTTTTTTTTAATTTTAAAAAAGGGGGACTTAATAGCACTACATCTCTGAATTGGAGAAAATCCATTTTGTAGTGCTATTAAGTCCCCCTTTTTTAAATTCAATGTCTGGTTTGTCCTGTTAAGTGTGTTCTGTTTGTCCCTAAGTGTCCTCAATTGTTTTAGTTTTAATAATTTTAACATACTTGACTTTACAATCATCTGCCAAATAACAGTAAGCCAATTAAACTTTATCAAAGAAATTTGATAATTACAAGTTAAAGGAATTTGCACACCCACACAATTGTATATCTAATTGCATTCATTGTCATACAACTATCACCTTAATAAAAAAATTCAATAAATAACACACATTTCGAAAATATATCTCTTTAATAAATATAAATAACTTTTAAATAATTAAATAGTACAGAACATCACTTTCATTTAACAAACAATTACATTACATCTATTTTCTACGTCATTGGATAAAATGTATCTCCTCAATAAACTTCCCCGTTGATTGTCAAACAGTTACAATAGTAAAAATTGAAGATCCCCATCATCAGTAATTACAGGATAGTTTGAACTATGTTTTTCCAACCATTAATTAATCGTGTACCGGCATCATTTAATTAACTTTGTATCGACAGACCTGAAGATGCTTTGCAAAATGTAGAAAGCGAAACCGGTCGTCTAGAGAGTTAAATTAAACTAATTGTGAGTAAGTCTTATTTATTATTTCTTTTACCTATTTTAAATTCTTGTAGTTGGCTGTATACCATGTATCACAAAAGTTTTCTTCTATTATTACTATTCCATCATCAGTGCTGTCTGGACTTATGTACATGCTTGAAGTTACTAAATATGTGGGTAAAAACCATTTAAATGTAGTTAGATTAACTTTGAATTACATCTTTGATATTTAAAAAAAATGATGTTTAAGTTATAAAAGAAATTAATCACATGCCAAGTAGGACTCAACTGAGGTTGCTAGTCTTTAGACGAAGTGTCTGTGAGGACTTGTTGTTTGGCTATCAACAGAGCTATTGAGCAAAACAGTTCTCCTTTAAAACCGAGATGGCGGTTAAAGTGAGGTGGGATTTAGTTGCGATTTTAAATTTACACTACTATTGATCCCACTAAGGATTAGAGTAATACAATTTGGAGCAGCTCGCCATGCAAGGTAAAAACTATCCGCACCAAAAGTAGAAATTGAAATATGGTGACGGAGCCGAGTCACAATATTTCAATCCAAAAATATTATTTTACGAATAATTTGGTATTAATTTTGCCCCGATACCAGCGAGTTGTCGGTTTAACGAAGACTAAACCAGTTTTTGGCGGTTCGCCGCTAGCCTATTATGCTAGTGTAAGCAAAGTGCTCTATATCGTTTATATTTCATTTTGTATTCCAGAAAGTAAGGTATGGTAAAAATATTATGCCGATTTGCTATATAAAGTTGTATTATTTGTATTATGCCTTATGTAAGTTTTTTTCGTTTGCGTTTCTCAGTAACTTCTTGTATAGTGGAATCTTGAGATGAAATATGATACTAAGCTTATTTTATTTAATTCTTGGTTTTAATTAGCAAAAAATTGTATATCATTTTACTGTGAGTAGTTTTTTAAATTTAATTAAATTATTTTTCGTTTTTAGATTTATTTTAAAAATGACGATAATGAACCAGAATTGTTAACAGTACCAAATTGCAATAGCTTCTGTCCCTTGAAGAAATTCGAAGAATTAGTAGAGGAAAATATTCCTGAAAATATATCATTATGCAGGGGAACCAAAAGTAAGTTTTCATATTTGATATTAACAATTCATTTTTTTAGTAACACTGTTTTAATTGGACACGTTTGCCATCTTCAGGGTATAATATTTCTCTCTCTCTCTCTCTCTCTCTCTCTCTCTCCTCTCTCTCTCTCTCTCTCTCTCTCGCTCTCTTCAATGGAGCTATAGCCCGACTTGGGATGTGGCATTCCCCAGCATCATCTTCCAAACCTCCCTTTGCTCACTTTATCTATCTGACAGGTTACCAGATGTCATCTGTATATCAGATACCAATTTTTTAATCCATGTTAAACTTTTTAAAAAAGTATAAGCATGAAATTTACTTGTAAAATGTAATGTTTATAAAATAAAATAAAATACACTGTTTATTAAAAATCGCAAATTTGCCCAAACGTTTAAGCAAAAGTTAAATAGTTTTATTTACATCAGGCCGACAAACCCAGAAAAGAAAAAAGTTTCTATTTAAATATTCATGGTGAGGAAATAACAACCTCAAACTATATATTTATATATAGTAGAGTAAATAGACTGGCAAAAGGCTTCTAGAATAGATTTTGGTGGGCACTTTGTTGCTAAAATGTAAAACCTTTTTTTTTTGGTTTCTAATATCTTTCTAATGCAAAATCACTTGGTCGTCCAAAAATCGTAGCGGGAGGGGAGTGGTGGGGAGCCTTACAAAAAAAAAGTGCTAATTTTTTTTTTCGTCATTTTTCGGATCTACGATAACCGAAAATTCATTCCTCAAATTTTCATGTTGATCTGGACATTAGAAATATATTTATTTTATTTATAAAAATACGTCAAACCATTGTTGTATACGGAGCGCCTTCATACAAAATCACTTGTTCTGAAAACCCATATTTTTAAAATCTTTTACCTCGCTCTACCTCGAAAAATATTGGGTTTAGCAAAAAATTACTTTCTATAACATTATAGACCAAAAATCAGAGAACACGTGGGTTTTTTTAGAATTTCGATTGGATACTTAGTTTAAGAAAGAATTAAATAAATCGAACGGCATATCACGACGGACAGTGCTGAACGCAGAGATGCGAGGAAGGGCGAGATTTCTAATCTGAAGTCAAAGCAAATCGACTCTAGTGATGGCGATGTTGTTAGGGTCGATTTTACATTGAAACGCTGTTGTGTTGTATATTCTATTGCGAAAGTGCATCATTGTGCATTATTTTTTACTAATAGCGCAAAATCCACTGAGCTGAGATTTTTAATATTAAAAGTTTTAAATTATTAAAAGTTATTAATTAGCTTATTGCTATAATAAAAATATTAAATATCTACTTAATATTAAGGTAAATATTTTTTTCATCTAGACACGGATTTAACGAAAAGCAGCAGAGTCAAAAATCAGATTAAGGCATGTTTTTTTCCATAAAGTCCATTTCCTTTTCAGTTAGTTAAAGGACGCGGAAACTGAAGAATACATTTTTGTTCTAGTTTTCGAAAAATGCATCCTTATTTCTTTGCATTTGGCCATGTGAACTATTCTTTTTGGGGAACATTATATTTGTTAGACATGTACAAATTTGCTGATAAGTATCCAGAATTTTATGAAGACTTTATTAGAGGAAATTTTGTTGTGAAAAGTTTGAACAGAAACTTTTACCAACTATTTGTAGATATAGCTTTAAACACATAAATACAAACTCAAAAGATGCAGGAGAAATCGTGTGATTTACTAAAACCAGCACAAAACTAGACGAATGGTATTTAAGCTACAATATGATTGGCATGATGGTAGATGAATTTCGTGCATCATGAGACCTAAGCAACCACTCAAGTCAAAACGTAGAAAGTAGAAAAAAAAACGGATGAAAATTGATGAATATTCTGTACAAAAACTACATGATCAGTTTTTACGATTTAATGTATTTTTAAAAAGCGTAGATCGTCTTCTCGTAATTTCAGCTAATGAGATTGCATCGCTAAATGTTCAAACATCCTTACTAAATATACAAAAAAAAAAAGAAAAAGAGAGCCTAGCATAATTTATTGTTACTGTTGGAACTCCCAATTTTTATCAGCATAGAAAAGAGAATAATCTTCCAACACTTCGTAGCGCAGATACCTATAAAACTGTCTCTGAAAAGAAGAAAATTATTCAAGCTGAGCAAGAATTTTTACAAAAAATACTAGCAACCAAGGCAATTGAAAGAGACATAAATATTATGAGGATATTTTCAAATAGGAATTGACAGCATATCCAATGTCACTTGTACCAGCAGGAGTTTTATCGATACCATAAAATAAATCTGCCTTAGGTTCTATAATAGAATAGTTTACAGTTGTTACAAAATCACAAAACCTGTCACATTTTTGATGGTATGGGATTGATTCAAGCCGTTGGCAAACCATCAAATGCCAAAACATTTGACGACTATGCAAGAATTTTGAAATCAATAGTGTTCAAGAACCCCTACAGCGTTAAAAGGATCGATTTTGTTTTGGTTCACTACAAGGAATCTTCCATAAAAAACTACACGAGACAAAAGAGAGGCGTCCGGATACAATATTACCTCAAAAATGGAATTCATTTATTAATTGAGTTTTTAATAAAAACCAGCTTACACACTTCGTAAGCAATCAGCTAGTTAAATATTCCTTAACAAATTGTACCGCTCACTTCGTATCCAGCAGAGGATTTTGCGACGTTTTACATTACAAAACAAATTTTGGTTTGAATTCTGAAATATTAGTCTCATCACATAAAGAGGCCGATACCAGAATAATATTACACATTCTGTCAGCAAAAATGGAGGGATATACAAAATGTATAGTCGACTGTAAAGTTACCGATATGCCCATTTTAAAGACTTTTCAACTCCAGAAGTTTAGATGAGGGTTGGAACAAAGGACAGCGAAAGATTTATAGGTATTCACGAACTCTCTATGGATTACTCCCTAAGGAAATGTTGACCAGCCTTTGATATTGAATGGTATTTCTATTAAATTATAGTCTCCTATCTAGAGTGGGAAGTGAAGAATATTTGAGCAAAGATGTTTTCGATGATATGATATTGTTAAATCTGTTATTCTTCTTTATACACCTAACGACAATATTAAGTGTATTAATACTCTAAGAGGTATTTTGGCCACTACGAAACCTATTCATAAACTGCCTTCTACTTTAGACAGTCTGAGGCAACACTGCCTTCGTATACACTTCCAGACGAAAATATGGCACTACGACTATGTAGTGCGACACCAAGACCATGTCTGCCAAATCCGTTGCTAAGTGGCTGGAGTAAACAAAATGGAGAGCTGGTACCAGTTTTAAGCACGGAACCCATGTTGACGAAAGATACATATATTCTGAATAGTTGTAAATGTAAAAAAGGTGAGTCAACTTTTGCCTTTTTATGTGAAGAATAATTATATTAGCTTTTTTTATAATTTTCAGACTGTACAAGGCCCCAATGCTCGTGTAAAAGCAAACAGATCAAATGCATTGGTTCTTGTAAATGTGTGACCCAGGCGAAATGTGGCAATAAATATACGTGAAACAATTTTAACCGTAGATGTTAGTTCTTCTGAGAATACTGAAGAGTCTGACTTAGAATAAGATAACTAACATAAGATATCTAGCGAGTAAGAAATAGTTAAGTACATAGATTTAATTGTTTTTATTACTATCCTTTGTTATTGAATCAGAAATGTATTGCCAAGGAAAACCGATGCCATTTTAGATGTGTATATTCCAAGCTTTTAAACTTTAACCACTTTACTAAGTCCTTAGTAAGCTTTATAATAATAACAATAATCTGTACGAAAATTTTTGGGGATACGGGATACCTCTACATACTAAGTCACCTAGGGCTCGATAACACAGAAAGAGTCCCACCAGAGCTCAATCCTTTTGATATCGTAAGTATCTGAGATAAGTGAATTTTCCCTTTTGAGGGAGTGCAAGCCGTATGGCTAAATCTGGATAATATTAATAATTTAATAATAGTAATAATAAGTATCCAACCTTAAAGATATACAACAATACCTATTATGATAACATAAATACTACTATATATTTTATCACTTAACACATACAGTATTCTAAAAGTGTTCTGACAACAAAACGAGCCAAAGAAGTCACTATTTACGCTAGCAGTATTCATCCCCCTTATAATCAGCATCACAATGAAAAAACGACCATCACAACATCGTCATCAATAGAGTCTATTTGCGGTTGACTTTGGCACAGGAATCTCGCCCTTCCTCGCATCTCTGCGTTCAGCACTGTCAGTGGTGACATGCCGTTAGATTTATTTATTTTTTTCTTAAACTAATTATCCAATCGAAATTCTAAAAAAACCCACGTGTTCTCTGATTTTTGGTCTATAATGTTTATAGAAAGTAATTTTTTGCTAAATCCAATATTTTTCGAGGTAGAGCGAGGTAAAAGATTTTAAAAATATAGGTTTTCAGAACAAGTGATTTTGTATGAAGGCGCTCCGTATACAACAATGGTTTGACGTATTTTTATAAATAAAATAAAAATATTTCTAATGTCCAGATGGGTATGCAAATTTGATGAATGAATGTTCGGATATTGTACATCCGAAAAACGATGAAAAAAAAATAATTGCATTTTTTTTTGTAAGGCTCCCCACCACCCCCCTCCCACTACGATTTTTGGACGACCAAGTGATTTTGCCTTACAAAGATATTAAAAACCAAAAAAATGGGTTTTACATTTTAGCAATAAAGTTCCCACGGGATAACACAATAGGATCCTGTTTAAACTATACTAATATATATATATATATATATATATATATATATATATATATATATATAACTATTTTGGATGTGTTGGAGTCAATAAAAGGGGCTATTTGTTGACTATTTTTTACTCGAGTTTTCAATTGTGATTACAATTTTTATCAAGAGCTTCTAAAAAATACAAAATATCCTACAAAGTTGAACTAGAAATAAATAATGTTGTTGTTAACTCACCAAATAAAATTAGTTATTTATATAAAACTGCTGCTAACATTATTACAAAAAATATTATTAAAAAAATGTTCTATTCTAATAAATGTTTCTCTGAAATAATTTTGATAAAGTTTCTTAACAAAAACAATTGAATTTGTAAACAAAAATTGAATAGCTACAATTCAGCCTAAATGTCGTAAATACCAACTTAAAAATTTTTA